TTTCTTTCTTTCTTTCTTTCTTTCTTTCTTTCTTTCTTTCTTTCTTTCTTTCTTTCTTTCTTTCTTTTTTTTCAGAAATGGGGATTGAAGTCAGACTCTTGAGCTTGCCAGGCAAGTACTTATTCTACTGAGCCATCTCCCTGGCCCCCTATTTCTTTCTTGTAACTAATGGATCTGACTAAAGTTTCAGAGTATATTGAAGATGAATGGTGAAAATAGATATCCCTATCTTTTCCTGATTTTAAAGGAAAAGCTCTCAGTAGTTCATTTAAGATGGTGTTAGTAGTAGTTTTGTCATAAATAGCTTTAATCAGATTGAGATAAGGTCTTTCTATGCATATTTTCTTTAGGGTTTTTGTCATGAATGGATGTTGGATTTTGTTAAAGACTTTTCTATGTCTTTGGGATGATTTTTGTCTTTCTACCTATGTCATGTAGTACATTTTTTCATTTGCTTTTATTGAACCATCCTTGCATTCCTGGGAGGAAGCCTCTTTGGTCATGATACATGATGCTTTGAATGATTTGTTGCATTCTGTTTGCCATTGGAGTATGTGCTTGGTGAGTATTTTTGTACCTATGTTCATTAAAGAGATTAGCCTATAGTTTTCTTTTTAAACTGAGTCTTCGCCCTTTTTCTTTTTCTTTTTTTCAGACAGGGTCTCATATACAGTTCAGGCTGGCATTTTTGAGCTCATTATGTAGCACAGGATGGGCACAAACTTGTGACAATCCTCCTGTTTCTGCCTCTTGAATGCTAGAATTACAGGTATGCACCAGTATGCCTGGCTGCCATTTCATTTTTGAATAAAAGTAATGCTAGCTTTCAGGAATGAGTTTGCCAGTATTCCTTCCCTTGCAACTTCATTAAAATTTTGAGCAGTATTACCATTAGACCTTCACTCAAATTCTAGTAGAATTCACAGGTGAACCAATTGGATCCAAGGCATTTCTTGATTGGTCAGATTTTTTTTTTTTACTGTTGCCTCAATTTTATTGCCTATTATTGGATTATTCAAGTATTTTGGTAATTCAAATATATCTAGATGTTTATCCATTTCTTCAGTGTTTTCCGATTTCTTGAAGTGCAGGTTTTTGAAGCAGTTGTTAATAATCTTCTGGATTTCAGTGGTGTTCATTGAGATTTTGCCTTTTTTGTTTCTGATTGCGTTGATATAGGTCTTTTCTTACCTTTTTGGGTAAATTTGCTAAGTATTTACCTATTGTTCATTATTTCAAAGAATTAGCTCTTTAATTCACTAGAATTTCTAGAGTTTGTTAGAGTTATCAGAATTGCTTTCTTTAATCTCAATTTTAATTTTTACCCTGATCTTTAAATTTCATTTAGTGCACTTGCTTTGGATTTGGATTCACTCATTTTTCCAGGACCTTGAGGTACGTCTTGAGGTCATTTATTTGAGCCAGTTCTATTTTTCTGATGTGAGCATTCCCTGCTATAAACTTCTCTCTTATAACTGCTTTCATTTTGTCCCATGGGTTCTTGTATGTCTTACTGGCAATATTGGTTGATTCTAGGAACTAATTTCTTCTGTGACTCCCTGATTATTCAAGAGTGCATTGTTTATCTTCTGTGTCTTTACATATCTTTTTGTTGTTGTTGTAGTAGTTTGTTTCTTTGGTCACTGATTCCTAGTTTCATTGCACTATATCAAAATGCGGTTGAACCCTGATTTTTTTGTTGAATTTTTTTGGTCTAGTTTATTTGTGATTGTGTGTTATTGAGGTCTCCCATTATGCTGGTATTGATGTTTACCTGATCTCTTATATCCAGTAGCATTTGTTTTCTGAAGTTGGTTTTGTCAGTGCTCAGTGCATATATATTTATAATTGTCACGCTTCCTTTTGAATTGTTCTTTTTTTTTAAAATTTATTTATTTATTTATGTGTGTGTGTGTGTGGGGGGGCAGTTCAGCCCACCAGGGGGCGGGGCTTGCTGGCATGTGGTGCTGGGGGATTGAACCGCGGTCCCTGTGCTTTGCTAAACTTGTTCCAAGTAGGTGCCTTAGACCATCTCTCCAGCCCTTGAATTTTTCTTTTAACCAAGTGACCTGCTTTGCCTCTTCTGATCAATTTCTGTTTGAACCTGATTCTCAGTCCATGAAATATTGTTTTCCATTCTTTGATTTTTAATCTATAAATTTCTTTTTGGAGTAAATGTGCTTTTGCATATAGCACACTGTTGGGTTTCATTTTTTAATGCAGTCTACTAATCTGTCTTTCACTGGGGAGTTAGATCATTAACATTGACAGTCATTCTTAAGGGTATTGATTTATTCCTGTCATTGCCTTGTCTTTCTGTTTCTGATTCCTTTCTCCCTTTTTGCTTCCCTGATCACCCTACCTGATGTATTCATTCCATTAGATTTTTTGCCACTGTTAGCTTCATTGTCTCTTTCTAGGATGTCCTTGAGAATTTTTTGGAGTGCTGGTTTTGCTGGTCACAATTTCTTAAGGTTTTCTTTGTCATGGAAAGACCTCATTTCTCCATAAATTTTGAAAGATAGTCTTTTGGAATCTATTACCCTGGGTTGGAAGTTGTTTTCTCATAGGGCTTATAAATGTCATCTTTCAGTTCTCCTAGACTTTAAGATTTATGTTTAGACATGTTTTATAATTTTAATGAGTTGACCTTTATAAGTGTTTTGTCACTTTTTTCTAACAGTATTTAAGCTTCTCTATCTGTTCACTAGAAACTGGCCTATAGGTTTCTTTTTTCACTGAGTCCGCACATTTCTGAGTCAAGGGATTCAAAGCACTGAGTTCAATTTTTGACTATGATGTGTTTTGGAGAATTTCCTTTCTGCTCTTGGCTATGTAAGGTTCTATATGCCTTGTTATCTGTATGTTAAATTTGTTTCTCTGATTTGTACAAACAGGCCTTTTTACATCATTTGACCCCTCTTCTGATTTCTCACTAATTTGAATTAACCTGAAATTAGTCTTCTTTGTGTCATCTAGTTGCTGGATCCATTTTTCACCTCCTCATGTTATTAAGCTATCTTTGTAGATATTGTCACCAGAATCAGCCCTATTTCTAGTTCTGACAATCTGTTCTTACACTGGTTACTTTTTTTGCCCATACTTTTTTTTTTTTTTTTTTTTTTTTGCAGAACCGGGGATTGAACTCAGGCCCTTGCTCTTGCCAGGGAAGCACTTATTCCACTGAGCCATCTCCCCATCATGGGCTCTAATTCTTTGCTAAACTAGTCTTTTTTGTTTCATATTATTCTGTTTATCTTAGCGGGCTTTTCGTTTATGTCCTCTCTAAACTAATCAATTTTGTTTATTAAACCTATTGTCTGCTTAGTTATGTCATCTTCATCATCTTCAAATACACTGAGCATTTTATGAATCTGTGTGTGTGTGTGTGTGTGTGTGTGTGTTTACATGTTGTTTGTCTCTTCTTTTTTCACTTGTTATAATTCAGCTGTTTGGCCTCAAACAATGCCCTCTGCATCACCTTTGAAGGACTGAAAGTTTTTGGATGCATTTGTTGCCTTGCTCGCTAGTTTCTTGTGTGTGTTCATGCACTGAAGTTTGTGGATTCATTATAATAGTAGGATTTTGCTGCTCATCCAATGATCTTTTTATTTTTTTTTAATATTTTTTTTACATTTATTTAGTGTGTGTGTGTGTGTGTGTGTGTGTGTGTGTGGCCAGCTCAGCCTACCTGGGGGGCGGGGCTGGCTGGCATGTGGTACTGGGGGATCGAACCACAAGCTTTGCCAAGCTTGTTCCAAGTAGGTGCTTTAGACCACTGAGCCATCTCTCCAGCCACAATGATCTTTTTAGTAAGTGTCCACTTTCCAATGTTAGTAGCTCTTGTATAGTTATGTACAAGGATTATTTGTCAGAATCATATTGTTTTTGTATTCAGCTTGATCATTTAAGTATTTAAGTGACTTTGATCAGTTAAAGCTTTGATGTGGCTGATTCTCATCTCACTCTATTCTCATATCACGAAGCCCATTATTTTAGTTCTGGTGCACATGAGAAACTACTTTATTTTGGGTATGGACTGCTGCAGTGAGCACAAAACTACCTTGTTCTGAAGCCACTTTATTCTGTTGTTGCTTTTGATTTCTAACGTGTCATTTTAGTGACATTGAGTTCACCTTGATTTTAAAATTTCATGTTGACAATTACATTGATAGGAAATTTGAGTACTAGCCATAATTTTTTCATGTTTTTGTTGTTGTTGTTCAGCCAATTAAGTTCATTGTCAAACAGTGCATTTAAGCACAATCAAGATTAATTTTTATTTCTGATATTTTAATTTTTCATCCAGGTCTGTTAAATGTACAAAACACAACTGGAAGCTAGATGTGAGCACCATGAAGTACATCAATCCTCCAGGAAGCTTCTGTCAAGATGAGCTGGGTAAATGCCACCAATACTGAGCAGTCCACATTATTATTACTATTGTTACTGTTGCTCTTCCTGTTGCTATATCTCCAAACTCTCTTGAAGATTCTGATATATTCTGATTTTAACATGATGAGCCCTATGAAAAAGGGATTAATATGGAAACTAATAAGCAGAGAATTTCTCAAGTACTACTTTTATTTATTCACTGGTATGGCAAATATTTGCTGAGACTTTGCTGGCTATAAATGGTATGCTAGATATTAAGAAGTACAAATTTGAATAAGCAGCATATATTGATGAAAGTGGTAGATGTACCTCTTCACTTTACATGAAGTAGTAGATAAGAGCAGCTTATAAATAATTAACAAAGATATGACATTTTTCTTGAGCAGTGCCGTACATGCTATAACAATGGGCTTAACATTTTATCTGTGAAAATACACAAGATAACTATGCTTGTGCCCATAATCCTCCCAACATATCGATGAAATGTCAGTGCTAGGAAGTGACATGCTTGAAATTAGATGGTTCTTTCTGGCATAGAAAATAGGCTTGAGTTATGTCCTATTCTAAGCACTCTGGGCCCTTTCTAATTCTACTCCCTCCTGGAGAAAGGTTGTAGGGTATAGTTCTAGAGATAAACTTGTATCTGTTCTGTTAAAAGATCAAATGATAGCAAATCTAATTTTGCAAGCCTTTTTAAATTTTTTTTAAAATTTTGCAAGTCTTAATTGCTCTCATTAAATTTTGAAGTAACATGCCACTCATGTGCAGATTATATTAATAGCCAGAGAAAAGAATCATGAGGTACAAAAACAACTTGACGTTATTTGTCTTATAAGCCATGTTTTGGGGGTTTTCAGCTGTGATTGGCTGAGACTCAGTTTGTTGGTTACAGTGGCATTTGTTTTGATTGAGTTAGAATTTGCTTATATATCAAGTTAGGTTACAATTCACTATGTGTGGAGACCACTTTGAGGCAGACTTTATCACCTAAATAGGGAGCCAGTTTGAAGACAAACTTTCTTTTTTTAAAAAAATTTTTTATTATGTGTGTGTGTGTGTGTGTGTGTGTGTGTGGCCAGCTCAGCCCACCAGGGGGCGGGGCTGGCTGGCATGTGGTGCTGGGGGATTGAACCACGGTCCCTGTGCTTTGCTAAGCTTGTTCTAAGTAGGTGCTTTAGACCACTGAGCCATCTCACCAGCTCCTAAACTTTCTTTTTAAAACAGTTTTTACTTCTTAAAATTTTGATTTATGAGTAAGAGTATTACTTACGACAATCCTTAAAATTGACACTTACTCATGTGTCAGACTGTGGCTCAGAATGCTTGCTATGGACATAAAAAATAGATTTGATCTGATTGGACGTCACAGAAAAATTCATGCCACAGATAGCCTTTGTGTTGAGTTTTGACAGATCATCATTTCTACAGGCATGCGAGGGTAAAGAATTCTTGATGGAAAGAATAGCTTGGGCAATGTGTTGTGTGGAAAAAGGTGTAGTTCAGCTGGCATTGGGACATGTGGGCCAAAGTGACAAAATACACAACTGTAACACTCTCATTGTAAAGAGAGTATTGAATGTTCACCTAAAATTAAGACTAAATTCAGTATTTTACTGAGTGTATGCCAAGTACAGTACTAGATGTTTTGTGTGAATTATTTCATGTTACCTTCCTATGGACCTAACTATGTGGTAATGGGCCATCCTCAATGGAAAATCATTTTTCTTACAGCTATGGTTTGAATATGATTTATTCCCACCAAGACTTACATAGAAATTTGATTCCCAGTGTAATGGTGCTGCATGATGGGATCTTTAAAAACTAGTTAGGTCATGTGGCTTCCAACCTTATGAATGGACTGATGCCTTTTTTGAGAGACTTGGTTAAATTTTGTGAGACTGGGTTAGGTCTGGCAGGAATGAACTGGATCGCACAAGACTGGAATAGTTAGTTACCTTGGGAGAGAGCTGTTGTGGCGTAGTGGTGGTAAACCTATGGCAAGTTGCTGCCATGGGCTTTTTGTATCATTGAAAGCTCTAGAAGCTTGGCATTGTTATAGAGCAAAATTACCTGATGTTTGTTTTTTTCCCATGTGTGCTTACTGGCTGTGCGAGTCTAAGTGGATCCTGGTATGTGCTCTTGGACCTAGAGAGGTGTGAGCGAAATAAAACTTTCCTCTCCAAATCTCCCAGCTTCAGGTATTTTGTTATAGTAACATAAAGTAGACTACAACATTTACCATCACATATATCAAGGCCTCTGTCCATAGACTCTCTCCTTTGCCTTTTAGTGCAATGGATGAATGACCCTACTCCTAAGATACACACACTCTGGTCCTCCACCACCAGCCCACCCCTGCCTGCTCCCCCTTGAGCTCCTGTGTCTTCATCTCCATGAAAGTGCTTTGATGAGCGTCACCCCTGCGTGTCCACGTGGTCAATTCAGCTGGTCACGTTTCCACTGTCACCTTAATGAAACGTCTAAGAGGCAGGCAGCAGCACACCAGCCAACCCATTGTCTCCTTAATATTGTTTCTTTTCTTGCTGTTTAGGAGCCCTGCTCCTGTTTATTATCTGTTACTATAACAAGGGATCGCTAGCTTGGTGGCTTGTGACAATATAAATTCATTATTTTCTGTAGATAGAAGTCCATCACAGGTCTCTCTGCTAAAATCCTGATTGCAGCAAAGCGGCATTGCTGCCTGCAGATCCTGGGGAGAATCATTTCCCTGCCTTTTCCAGAAGGGGCCCTGTTTCTCTATCTTCATAATCAGCAACGTAATTGCATAATTGCATCCTCAGACAGCCTTCTGTTGTTCCACTTCTTCCTGGTTCTGTTAAGCCCCTCCTTTCCCTTTCAAGGACCCAGAGAACCAGGAGGACCTGACTGCTTGAAGGCTGATTAGCAGCCTTAATTTCATCTGTAACTCTGGTTCCCCTTGGTCACCTAACTTGCTCAGGGCCCAGGACTCTTTGGGAGCCATCATTCTGCTCGCTGCACTCTCCTGACTTTGTTTCCCTCCACTTAGCAGCTTCTCAGCCTCCGCTGCTGACTCATTACCCACCAGCCCTTGAGTGCCAGAGTGCCACTGAACTCTTGCTAAATTCCCTGTATCAAAACACTAAGTGATTCTCTTAAGTGCTCACTATTGCCACAGCTCCAAGCCTCATCTTCACTCAGTGGCTCCAAAAAGCTCGCTTTCAGCTTTGGCCTCGTTCCTGAGCTCTAAACTCTGGGATCCGATAAGTTCCGTATAGGCAAAGCAACATGCAGCCAAAACAGGACACCTAATATGCAGCCTCAGCTTGTCCTCAAAACCCTTCCTCCTCCAGGGTTCACCATCTCCATAAATGGCCCAGGCACACAGAACCTGAAGGTCATTCTTGAGAGTTCTCTTTCCTTAAGCTACACATCTAGACGACTAACAAGTGACGTTGCCCGGTGCCTTCCAACTCAACTGCCTGTCCCCATCCATACAGCCTCTGTCCTGTGCCAGGTGACTTCTACCTTTCCCCTTGCAAGTCTGCTTGCTCCAGGTAACTCCACATTCAAAGATCTGAATCACTTCACATCACTTCCCAGCTCAGACCCTCCAGCAGCCCCTTGCCCCAGACCCCTAAGAATGTGCATCCCCTGTAGCCGAGCAATTCCATTTCCAGGGCCTTGGCCCAAGGAACTAATCGCAGTGTGTCAAAAGGCACAGGAACACTCATGCACAATAAAAGCATATAAACCCAAAGTTGGAGCTTACAGTTTAATTCTGATAGATCCTAAAGGTGATCCTACCAAAGAAACTAAAATAATATTTATGATTATAAGGTGAAAAATTAAGTTATAAATATTATACATAGTATAAACCATTTATGAAAAATATATGTGAATATACAAAAGTGGGCAAGGGCAGGGCAGCCTTGGCAGTGGTAACCTGTGAAAGCAGTTGAGGTAGAGGCTTCCAGGGCCAGGCCATTAGACCATGGGCTTTGACTGTGCTACTCTTACATTTTTTCAGGCTTAAACTATTGTGGCCATATTATTCCAAATATTCTCATATGGAATATTGAGATCATTCTCACCCATGGGTCCCTGCAAGACCAATTCCAAATGACTTTTTTTCTAATAATGGGTATTGAATCCAGGGCCTCGCACAAGCTAGGAAGACAGCCGGCCACTAACCTACAGTCCCATTCCTTTTTATTTTATTTTGGGACAGGGTCTCACTAAATTACCCGGCTCCCCTGAAACTTGTGATCATCTTGCTCACCCCCCCCCCCCAAGTAGCTGGGTTCCTATAGATTAACTTTCTTTTTTTAACTGCCACACGCAGGAGTTCTTTCACTTTCCCTAAGACAGGAGGTGTCACTTTCTAAGGGTGCAACCTTTGCCACACACCCCAAGGAGGCGGAGCACTACTCTGGGAGCTTTGTTAACTGCTTTGACCACAAGTTTCTATTCATTTCACCTCTCAATAGGAACACCTTGACCTGAGCTGTTTCCCTGAGTAAACTCCATCCTGGGTCTGCTAACCCAGCTCAGGAAGCTAAGAGCTGGTTACTGTGCTGTACAAATACTGTTAAATTTATTTGGCATAATGGTGATGAGCATGAGTTTGGATGTAAACACTCTTAGTTTGCACAAGTGAAAGGACAATAGACTGTCAGGTTTATGGATTTATAGCTCACAAATCTACAGCTGCTCGGGGCATTTATGAGAACCTCTATATCTGTTGCATAGGACCTGTAAAGATGACCACTGTAGCAAAGGGTTTAAGGGTGGAGGTAGTGGCGCTTGCCACCCATGATGCTGGGTGAGTTATTCAACCTCTTTGTGCTTTAATTTCCTGAACTATAAAATGGAGATATCTTGTAGCCATCTTTTTTTGTGCAAGCTGTTAAATTTTTATTTTTGTATAATATAACTAAT